AATAAAAGCATACATAGATGGTCTCATTGAGCTTTATTTGATAAAGTTTTATAAATTTAATCAATCTTTTTCAGGATCATTAAACTTTTTAAAATAAAAATAATTCAAAAAATATTTATAAATTCAATTCTCTTGCAAACTTATTGAATTACAAATGATCAATTGATTATTGTTGGTGAACGCACATGTATCTGCGAGCACAGTAAATATATATGAATAGATATGTTGATTTAATAATACATTATTTTTCTGTATATTATTTTTAGTGATATTTAAACTATAATTTTCGTATTACACGCTAATTTATTACAAATTAATTTATCTGTTAATATTAACAAACGATACGATAATCCAATAGCATATTTTGAAGTTTGAAATTTTTAAAGTTCAATCCAATTAATTGATCATTTTTGAATTTAATATTATTTTATAATTTATTGTTTATATTTCATTCCAAATACGTATTATTTATCATTCATTTCTTAGAATAAAAAAGTTTTATATTTGTATTTTTATATCACAATTTTATATTATTCATTGTGAATGACGAATAAATTCGATTTAGCAAAATGCTTACTTGAACTTGTTTGTTTGAATTCGATTGATAGCTCATGTCCAACACTACTATCGTGATTCGATATTCATCTATACGCTCTGTAGCTAGTATTTTTTGTTAATAATTCGTTAACAAAACCTAAACAAAAATTTTGTAAAACAAAAAATTACTTAAAATTACTTCAGAAATCTTTAATTAATTTCAATTAAGTTTTTTAGAATATCCTATATTGATAAACTTTATTTAAATTAATCTTATGATCTTTCAGAAATCAAAAATTCGAACAAAAAATTCAAGAAATGCATGATAGGATATGTCAAAAATGATTATTTATTATAGAATTCAATAATTGATAATATTAAAAAAAGTGAAATTTGAAACAAAATATAAAAAAATATGAAAAAAAAAACAACAAAGAATAAAGAATGTAATTAATAATAAAATAAAAATATATAAAGAAAAATATATGGAGATATAACTGAAAATATAATAGAAATCAGAAAACAATATCTAATGAAAATGAAAAACAGTAAGATAGAAAAGTAAAATAAAAAAATCATTAGAAAAACATTATACAGTAGAAAAATCAGAAAATCTCAACATTTAAATGAATTGTACACAATGTTTTATTTAATGAAAAAGGATTCCAAATCATATGATGAAATAGTAAATACAATATACAATAAATACAAATACCAATTGGAAAGACAATATAATAAAAAAAATTAAAAATATATAAAAGAAAAATGAATAAATAAACAATAACAAATTTACCAAAAAGAAAAAATGTAATATTTTCAAAATGAATGTTTGAAACTAAAGAAGATGGAACCAAAAATACACCGAAAGAATTAAAAACATTTTCTTTCATTTCTAATTCCTATTATTTTCTACATCGATAAAAAATTGTTTTGATAAACTTACTATATCAATATAATAAAACATATGTAAAGATTTACAAAAATGCAATTCAAAACTACATTTTAATAAATAGCAAAAATAAAATAGAAGAAAGATATATCTATCATTATATATATTACATAAGAGATATCTATCAACAAATTAGTTGTACTATTTTTAAAAGTAATACTTTTAATTGGAAATTGGTTAGAAACAGAATAAATTGATATCGGTGTAAGCTGTCCATTCTTTGGAATATAGAAACAATTTTTACATAATTAATAAAGAAAAATTTTAAATATTATGAGCTTAAACAATTCTCAAAAACTAATATAATTAAATCAATAATTCTTCTCAAAATGAATTATAAGTATTGATTGATGTAGCTTTGATGTTTAAAATCATATAAGATCACAAAGATATTTTTCAATGGAAATAAAAACAAAATTTAGAAATAAATTAAAAATAGCAATTATAAGAATAAAACTAGAATTTCAAAGCAAATAAAAACTGTCATATAGACAAAAATATATTAGAATTATTTACTTTTAATATAAAAGTAATTTTTATATAAAAAACAATATCAGAAAAACTAAGTAAAATTTTACATCTCGATAAAAGTAATGTGTAACAAGTTACAATATAATTATTAAAAAATAATTTATAAATATATTGTATATATTGTATATATGATATAAATTTTTGAATATTTATTTAATTTCATCAGCAATTATATTCGTTTTTATATTTATGTTTTATTAGATAATAGCTTATATTTATATTTTCTATTACATACATTTTATATTATATATTACATATTACATATTATATTTCATCATCATATATTTTTATATTATTTAAATATTATTTAATTTCTTTATCATTACTTGTTTTTCCTTTTATCAATATTAATAAAAAATTGATAAAAAAACAATATCACTATTATCATTATTCTCAGTTGAACTGAAGTCTTTCATTAATCTTTTAAATTATTTTACATGTTTGAGAGATATATAAATAATAAATAATAAAAATAATGAAGAAAATTAAAAAATATAATAAATTGTAATATATAAATATTTTTCAAACTTGTAAAACTTGAAATATTCAATCTAATATTATTGAAAAAATCATTGAGACTCTTATGAACCAAAAAACGAATAATATAATCATACCAGAGCACGATTAGCATTTATCGAAATTGTATAAAATAAGTGAACTAATATGTCGTATATTTTTCGACATTGAATGTAAAACAGAACCATCACATTCTATGATACTATTCAATAAGATTTTTGCAATAAATTACGCAAATTAAAGTTTATGGATTAAACAAGTTATATAAAATGTATCTGAATAAAATATTTTTAAATGCTTACCAGATTTTAATATATATGCCGTAATATCAGTAATATTTTCTTTCCAGCTTTAGTTGGCTATAGAAATTGTATTGTAATTTGTAAATCATACAATTATTCCATAATTATTTTTAGCTGTTTACAAGCCGAGAAATATAGCATAATGATTCATTTTCCACAATTTTTTCATAATCAAATTTACAATATAAATTTACAATGTAATTTGTTCTGTATTATTCATTATCTATGAATAATAATTAAACAATTTTCATCGATATTACTTAAAATTTTTTCCAATTTTTTTTATTATAATATTTTTTTTCTTTAACAAAATTTTTTTCACACTTCATTATTCAAACATCATTGTGACATATATAATAGCAAATTGTTTATTATTGCATGATATGTATAAAATTGATTTTTTTTTTTTTAAATGAATTAGTAATGCACTGTTTTCTATAATATTTTTCTTATATATATAATTGAATGTATAAATATACTTGTATAATAATAAAAAATGTATAATAATTACATACTGCAATTTCTTTTTACATTTAATCTTTAATAATAAAAGAATAATATATTAAATTAATATTTAATTTAAATTGAAAAAATAATTAAATACAAATATTTTTTATCACATCTTACAATAAATAGCTTGTCCATTATTGACAAAATTATTACATATATCAATAATAATAGTGATAGATTTATAACCGATTGTGATAATCCAATTTATCACTTTTTTTAGGCATTATGTTATTAATTTAAATTATAAATTAACAATAAATAAATTTAAATAAAAGAAAAAATACTTTGTTTTAAGAAGCTTATTAATTTTATATTATTGTTATTTCATTATTGATGCCAATAATATATCAAACAATGTGATGAATCATGTGATTAAATATTAATTTTTGATTTTAGTATATTATGTACAAATACAGAATATTTTATTTATCATGAATTCCTTAGTTTCATCTTCGTTATTTTTATTGATATAAATTGTATCAGAATAAAATTGTGTAGTTTGGAATGACGAATATAGTGATTCCACTTACGATTTTCAAAATCATTGACACTTTTTGTACATAATTATTTTTTTTAAAATGAAACATGAATATACATGAAATGTGAATGAAATAAATAATTATATTTATTTGTTTGTTTAAGAAAAATTTGCAAAATATATACATTATGCAAAATATATAAACTAAAAAATATATCTAATATATTTTAATAATGTATAAATGATAATAAACTTGTATTTAAATTTCATGTTTTTATCTTTCTTCTGTAAAAATATGTATTTCCATAAATATTAGATGAAATAAATATTAGTTTACTTGTTAATTAGTTAATAAGTTAAAAATTTAAAAATTTGTATATCTTTTGTATTTGTTTTGAATCAATATATATTATGTTTTTATTATTTCTATGTTTTATATCATTAATATTTATATAAAATAATTTTATAAAATATTATTAAAATAAATATATTGCAAATGAAAAATATTTCTATAGTTCTTAAAGCTATTTATGTAATGATGAATAATATTTTACATATTAATATATTTTTGCATTATTATTTTCCATCTGCAATAAATAACAATAACAAAAATATCAATAATTAAAAATAAATTGTACTGTTATATTGTTTATTATTAGGTCGAACTTGAAAAAATTAGAACGAGAATCTTTTTAGAAAACAATCTTCCACACATCTTGATATTAATATTATGTATTACAGACAGATTCTATCTAGAATCTGTTTCGTGATCTAGATAGATAATAATAGAATTTATACTATTTAGTGTAAAAGGTTAAGATCACTATTATTAAATATATTATTATTAATTATGGGAAGATATTTCATTAAATGTTAGAACTTCTTGATTTCATTTCATTTGTTTATAAAATGTAATAGATACTTTCTGTTTTGCCATAACATGTCTTATCCAGGAAATGCTTCACAAAAGTTATCATTCCCAAATTCTACCTAGAATCTATCCCTAAATGTGCAATATTACTCATCTTTTAAATATTCGTAGAATATTTTATTTTCAGTTGATAATTTATATTCTGTTTTCATCATCTAAATTTATCTTCTCTTTTTTCTAATTTCTAATAGAAGCCTTGTTTTATTATTTATTTGCTTAACTGTTTTGCTAGGCAAGAATTTTTATATTATTGCATTGGATTGTTCAAACTTGTTGTTTAAACTTTTGATTTAAGCTTATAAGGAGATCCATCTTCTCTTTTATTTGGCTTATTCTTTAGATTTGCTTCCTTTATTTTTCTCTCTGATTTTTAATATATTTATATAATTCAAGTTACGAAATTCTGTCTTGAAAGATTCTTTAAAGAAGCCGCTTTTATATCCAGCATTCTCTTAATGTTCTCTAACACTATTATTTCTGGAGATATTTACTGGCCATGTTTTTTAGCGATAACATCTATAGCCATGTAATTTATCAAAGATATTTTGATAAACATGCAGTGCAAGTTATCCAAAGTTATCAAAAATGACTCCCCTGGTCAGAATACAATAAATTTGATTAATGTTTCTATTTGTTATGAATTAATAAAGAATCTATTGCATTATGTAGCATTACTATTTATTTTTTATTATTATGTAAATAATTTAATGTATATTTTAAAAATATTTATTACATATTAAAAATTATAAATAATTTTAAATATTAGAATTATAAAAAGAAAACAATATAACAAATATAAAATAATCATAAATAATTATATTATGAAATATAATGAATCAATGTAACTTAGAAAGTATGTTTCTGATATTTTTTACAAATGCCAAACAAATGCGTTTCATCCAAATTCAACAACAATTATGCAACTTTAAATAAAAAATATACTTCTGTTTCGTTTCTTTGGAACGGGATGAAACATGGATGAAAAAAAAAAGATGAAAAAAAAAAATAGATACAAAATATACCAAAAAAATATTTGAAATCCAATAAATGGTTTGTGATTTATGTAAATAATTTTTAAAATTATAATTTTAAATCAAGAAAGTTTTAATAAAATGCATAGTTATGAAACTTACAAAACAAAATAAATAATAAATATATTCAAGATTATATAGAAATATCTAAAGAATTAATAATATACGTTAGCACAATTATAAAAATTGTAATTCCTGCCTAATGAAAAAAAAAGATCTTCAGATATTATAACAATAACTAAATTTATTATAATTTATTTAATTTATTATTATATTTTATTTAATTATATATGTTTATTTATTATTTTTAAAATGTTTTATTTATACAAAAGTTGATATAAATTTATATTTATTAAAATTTTTTTATAAAATTTATTTGCATTTTAATTACATTTTATTTTTAAATTTTAAATAAAATAATTGAATAATATTTCTATTCAATGAATTAATATTAATCCTTTATAAAATTCTTAGTCAAATCAATGAATACAAATAAATTTATCTAACAAATAATCAAGTAAATTAAAGTTAATATTTATGTGAAACAACGAATGAAGTTATCTAGTTATTTTCTAAATTTTCTAAATTTACATAAAATTGAATCGGACACTTATTAATATATATATACTTTATGAAATCTAAAATAAAATAGTTTGATCAAACAAAATTGATATCTTTTTTTCTATACAATGTTGCTACTTATTCCAGTATATAATAGTAAAATTGACCATTATGATAACAAATGATAGCACGAATAATAATAAATTGTAAATAAAACTCATAAAATATTGTTTATTGTCTGATGACGATAATTGATACTAAAGATCGACGATTTAAATTGCAATTAAGCAATATCAGCGTAAAAATCAGCACAAATATCAGCACGATGATTATTTTTATTTATATATTATTATATTATGATTATTAGTTATGTGGCCATCTACTGGTAAAGATAGATACTAATGATCATGCTTGAATTTATAAAACATTTTCTTGTTCATAAAATATGTGATTATATCAATTAAAGACTGATTTTCTATCATCAATACTATTAAATTCTGTATTTTCTATTCTCTTGTTTCAATCCAATCTCAATACCGCTAGTTCAGTAATTAAATATTGATACAAACCTTGCGATTTTAATAAAGTTCAATAGAAATTTTTAAATCCATCTATAATTTTTAATTTTTAAGTCCATCTATGATTTTTAATTTTTAAATATTCTATGATCTTTTGTAATATAATATACATTTCACTGATTTTTGTTTTTTGTTATTTTTATAAAAAATTTATAAAAAATTCTTTTTATTTATTATTTATTATTTTTCTCTTAAATTTTTATTTAGCACGTGCCAACAAGCATGGATTTGAAATAACCTGTTAATTTTCAATATAGAAATAAAAACAAATACAACAAATTAATATGGAAATTATAAAGAGTATTTTTTCTTAAAATAACTAATTTTTTGGTTCAAAATCACTTGAAAAATAAATCGTTTTTCATAAATAAAAATCTTACTCTCTCTTATACGTCCGCTCACTTCACTATTCGTAACCGTTCTGCTGTTCTCGAACGTTCTCATACGTAAATGTATATTCGGTAATATAGAAATCGATTAATTTTTCTAATACGATTAGAAGTTATTATCAGAATTAAACAATTAACAATAATTTTGTTTTTAATAAAATTTAAATATGTAAAACATAATAAGTTATTGAAAATTTTTTTTATTAGTAGAATTTCATTTCGAAAAGATAAAATCAATATTAAAAACATTAATTAGTATTTTTTCTTTTTTTTTTGTTCTTTTAAATATAATTTTGTAATAATATAAAATAGAATAAAATTTTAAATTATAAAATATCCAGATTTTAGTATTTATTCTATTTTAGCTATTATTCTATTTTAAAAAATATAAAATATATATATAAAATTATGATTGTAAAATTCAAAAAATATAAAAATTATAAAAATTAAAATTGATTTTACACATTCTAAAATTTCTCATTAAAAAAAAATTTCTATATTATTCATTATATTCTACATAGAAATTACATAGAAATTTCTATTAAATTTAATTATTATTCTAATAAATTAATTATCAAGCGAAGTGACATATAGTATCATTATCTGTACGGTATCATTTTAATATATCACGAAGTTTGATATTTTATCGATGAATTTGATCAAATATCAATTAGACAGTATTAATGCAATAATCAAAATCTTTTTTAAATGCAATTATTAACATTATATTCATTTTATGTTTCTCTAATCAAAATAAGATTAAATTAAAATACTTTAGATTATATTTACGCATTTAATGATATGCAATAATTTTTTTCCCTTATGTATTAAATAAGTAATTACATAAATATTAAATTTCATAAATAATGTTATTTTAAAAATTATAATAATTGTAATAATTTTAATAAAAAAATAATATCTACTTAAAATATTTTTAATCAATTAATTATATTTATGAGAATCATTTCTTATGATTGAGATTTTTTTTCATTCCTTTTCAATAAATTTTTTGTATTTCATTTCATTTGAAAATCTTTTTCAATTTTTTTATGATTTCCATTTGTTAAGACATATTATTATTTGAAATATCTTATAGTAAAAATAAGTTGAAATTAGAATATGGACAAAGTCTAATATATCGTCATATACATACATTATCATTTCTACGTCAAATTAATTTTTTTTTTTTTTTTTTGTTTTAAGAAAATAATTGTATCAATATTAATATTAAAATCATTAATTACGAAGTATATAATATATTTATATTATACAATATTATGTTTATTTAAAATCACGCATAAACAATTCATTTTCACATTGGTAATGCTCTTATTTATTGATTTTTTTTGAATAAAATTGTTTCGATAAATGATTATCATTTATTGTCGCATAAAACGTCGTATTAATTTTATATGAAAATTAATTAAAATTTTATTCTCAACTCTCATGTATTCGAACATGTATTACTTCATTAAATTTCAAATTTGATTCCGCAGTTACTATTCAATAACTATGTTATTGATTTAGTTTTGATAATTGAAACCGCTAAAAAAAAATAGCGAAAAAAAAAGAAAAAACGAGATAGTAATATCCAAATCTTATGTTTGTATACTAGATACAAAATACGTTACCCCCCCTTTTCAATTGCCATAACAGTATAACTTTGTCCTTACCTGTCTGGTTGTGTATATTGATAATGCAAACAAAACAAAAAATGCAAACAAAAATATAGTAAATCGATAAGTAGTATATTTGAGAAATTTATAAAAAGAATAATAATTGCAACATATATAAATTTTTTCTGAATACGTATTATATTATTAACGAGTGCTATTGCTATATAATTATAATATAATATTCAGATTATTGTTTTTCTCAGATTAACAATCTCAAAATAAGAAACATTGAATGCAAATGAAATTCATTAATTTTTTTTTGCAAATATAAAAATAATCAAAGAAGACAAATTTATGTATAGAAAAACATTCAACTTTTCTAATTTGTTAATAAATTTTATGAAAAGATGTATTGATTTGTTTCTATAAATTTGAACAAATAGACAGGTTGAATATAATATGATGATACTACATATGATCTTAAATCAAATATTGTATAATTATTTTATTATAAATACGAAACATTTATTAAATAATAAATTACATTGATTTTAATTTGCATAATTATTATTAAAAACGATATGTAATATTATATAACGATAAAACATTGTATATATATATATATATATATATTGTTATATAACACGATTGATGTCTATTATATATTATTCAGAAATTCAGTCATTTATGTATACTAAAAAAATATTAATACATAAATAATTGATACATTGTATTTTAATAAAATATATATTATTAATAAAATTTTATTACGCAAGTAATATTTTCTGCATAATAAAATTAAGAACATTGTTATCTAGTCGAGCTTTTCTACTTTATCATTATATTATTCTATTTAATAGATTTTTTTTTATCGTTTTAATTTCTAGAATTTATTTTTTCTCTAAAGGGAATTCCATATTTTTATAAATAAAATATATACAGTTTGTTACAATTTGTAAAATATCTTTGAAAAGTCGTTTTGGAAAAAGATTAAAATAAACAAAAAATTTGCTTTGGTTCTTTATAAAAAAAATAAATTTTTGAAAAATTTTTTTATATATATATGTCGAGACTGATTAATTTTTGTTTCAAACTTTTTTTTGAAATTAGAAATGCCACGATATTATTAAAATATACATCTTCTTTCATGTTCAGATTTCAAAATTTCTAGAATAAGAAATTAAACTTATAAATTTTCTTTCGAATTTTATGTAATCTTGCTGAAAAAAATTTGAATATGAAAGAAAATGTATATTGTTGAATAATTAAATCAAATGATGCATGAATATTTATGCTTATTATTTACTGAATATTATTTTTTATATGAAATATACAAAACATAATTATGTTTAATTACTATATATCAAAATGTACAGAATGTTTCATAAAATAAAGATAACATAATTATTTAAATGTCGCTATGTATTTTTAAATAATACATAAAATATAAATTATAAAATGAAATTAAATAATTTAAAATGAATCCGATATTATGCACATTATGCATTAATGCATTTAAAAACTTTAACTATTTTAATTAACATTTTAAACTTTAAGTTTTTTATTTTAATTATTTTTCATATTACATGTTTGATGCAAATTGTTGTTAGATGCAAATTTATATTATTTAAAATTATTATAATTTAAAATTTTCTTATTTATATTTTATATGCATCATTATACTTAATAGAAAAAGAAATATTAATAATAGAATACAATACAATAGAATTTTTTAAAAATGAATTACTAAACCTTTTTTTTTTTTCTTTTTTATTCTTAAAGAAAAATTTTAAAAAAGACAAATTAAAGATATTTTTTAGAACTTAAATTATCTTTTTTTTCTTATATAATGGAAAAATATTTATTTATTAATATAGAACTAAAATATTTTTAACATAATTCAATTCTCAACTTGTTACTAAAGAAATAAATATTATATATTATATATTATATATTATATATTATATATTATATATTATATTATATGTAATTGGATTGATATATAAGATCTAATTTTGTGATTCAATAACCGAATTTAACGCCATTACATTTTTTTTATAGAAATACTTAAAAGATAAATTTTATTGTATAAGTTAATAATATTTAAGATATTAAACAATTTATTTTAAAAGAAAGAAAAATTACTAAAAAACTTAATTTGTTATGAACTTAATTTTTTTATATATCTTTTAAAAAACCAATTATCAAAGAAATGCTATAAAAATACTATAAAAGTTATTTGATATAAGAGATGTAAGATTATATTATCAATTGCATTATACTATGTTAATAGTTTTTAATAAACATACCTAAGTAAAATGTAGCAGTTATTATAGTGTGGCATAAATGTTATGTTTGATGACGTATGATTTTTAAAAATCAATGCAATTTATCATTTTCTACAAAAAATTAAGAAGCTATTTAATTAAATCATTAATTTAATAGATATTGGTATTATTGAAAGTTAATAAAATCTATTGTAGAAAAAATAAGCACAAAATGACATTCATTTCTTTATTTTTCATATGTAAATTTCTTATAAATAAATTTCAATTCATTCATCAACGATTCATATATTGCAGCATCTTCAAAAAAGAAAAAAGAAAAATTTAAATATTCTCAGTTAAAAAACTAAAAAATAATACTAATAATACTAATATATATAAATATAATATAATATATTATATTAATTATATCGATTAACAGATTATGTTTACATATTGTACTGAAATAAACATTTTAAATTAGGAAATATGCTATATATATATTACGCAGTTACATATGATTATTTAATAATATTTGTTTGCATTTATCGTGCGAAATATGTGACATTGAGCTTTTAAGTAATGACGCTCAATGCTTTCATCACATTTAATAATATCTAACAAAAGATCTATACACTTCTACGTAATATTCTTAACAGTTTAATATTTTTAATAGCGTTACTACTGTTTTTCATAAAATATAACAAGTTATATTTGATTAATGTATTCAAAAATTTCTTATAAAAAGTTTTGAATAATCGACTACGAA